TCAGATCAGGTGGAGTTTTTTGATGGTAATGCACAGTAGTCTCCTGTCTTTGATCTCAAATCTTCATTTGTTCTTGTGCTACTTTTCATAGATTTTATTTTTTTAAAAAGTGGCATTAGTTACTGATACACTTTTTAGTCTGTTGTTCAAAGTAATAGAAAAATCTATGCAAGATTCGTAGATCTAGAATCTGATGTTCCTGTTCCATGTGCTGGCTGCAATGTAATCTGAAGGAAGCTACATTTAAAGATTTCCTTGCTGTCTGAAAAGCATCAGAAATTGTTCTTGTCTCTCAGCTAGGAAGGCTCTCGGGAACTGTAAGAGTATCTTCTACTTTCATCAAGAAGGTTTGGATTTTTTTTTTCTGCTGGTGTATGTGTAGGCTGGCAGTTATATCTTAGGTGTTGGTGCTTCACAGCTGAGTAAGGTGGCATTGTGATATTCTTTTGAGTCCCAAATATGTCATTGACAACTCAATTTCTTTTTCTCCAGAAGCCTTTTTGAGTTCTACAACATGCCAGCAGAAGCAGCATGCACAACAAACAGCATGCCAGTCTTACATTTCTGCAATACTCCCTTCTGTACTTGCTATTTGATTTTATAGCTGCTGCATGGGATGAGAGAAGAGGTAATATGACAGTGGAAAACTAGTGAACATTGATACTGTTTGTTTATAGGTTCCTCTTCCTCCCCAGGTGCTAATCTTCTGTTGGTTAGCACCAACAGAATCACCGGTATACAGTCTTCCAATTTTCAGGACTTCAGTGTTGTTCCTGATTTCCCTGTTTAAAAAGAGAAAGGTACACGTTGTTTGTTTAATTAGAAAAGGATTTAAAGTCAACATTATGTAAGTGGTTTTTAAAGAACCACTTTTATATAAGTGTTTTTTAAGGAACTTCTTGCATTTATAAGTGTGTTCCTAGTTACCTAATAAATGAGCAGCAATTATAGAGGTATCAAAGGAATTAAGGAATTTTTATTGTAATTCCAAGTAATAAATTGTAGGACAAAAATCAGTTAGCTGCTCTTAATATCATTAGCCTGTTACACAAATCAGGTATTAGGTATATTTCAATAACTGTAATTCTTAGCCATAAAATAACGACAGGATATGTATAATCATGGGTTTGTGCAATTCATTTAATTTGTTAAGCCTGTTCTTTTTTCAAAGACTTGATTGCACAGGCAGAGAACTGGTTATTATTTTGCCATTTAGCTTCAGAGATTGTAAGCATTAGAATTTGTTCAGGTTTAAGCAGTACTTATATTCATATGGAAAAAAAACCCAACACTCCAAAACCCGAACAAAGCTTTATTTGTTAATATATTGGGAGGTCAGTGTGACCATTTCAAAAAAGATACAGGGAAAAAAAGTTGTTCTTTACAAGAGAAGAGGGAATCTTAATGTAAACTTACCTCAGATGTTTGATGAGGCTGTCTGATATCCCTCTCCCTCCCAGCAAATTTTAATTGCACTTGGGCTGTATTAGTTTCTCTCCATCTCTTTATTTACTTGAATGAATAAGGGCAGGTTTTTATTCTCTGTATCACTGAAGTGCTTTCAGAAAGCCCATTCCCCACACAGAATCTGTGCCTTTCAATTTTTGTTCATGCATTTCAGTAGTTTTACTTGATTGGATTTGATTCAATTTGAGTAGCACACAGTGATAAGGAGGCTTCTATGGCACTGAGAGATACCTGTTAGCTCTTGGTTAGTGTATTTGTAACTGAAACTACTCATCTACTGTGAAAGTGGGGAACAAATATGGTCAAAGATATTTTCCTCTGCAAAACTTTAGATGACATCTCTCCATATATATTTAATATGATAAAATTTGTGAGCTATTGGGAGTGTTTTCTGTTGATAATGTAGAAACGTCTAAATAAGAGTGTAATTTCTTTATGTTTTAAAATTAAAAAATGAAAATTTTAATCGTTCTTAGTGATACTATTGTTGTAAATGACAGGCTAGATAAGAGGATAGTAGGAGTCAGTGGCAAGAAGACAGAAGAGAAGAAAGGACCTGGAAAATAGCTGGGGAGGCTAGGAATTTCACATCAAGACCTGGAAAGAGCTGTTTGAGAGACAGCAGCGGTTCAAGAGTGGTCATGAAAGTGGATATTGGGATTGCTGACAGAAATCAGATGTATTCCTTGCTTCCTCTACTGGCCACCATGCTTGCGTAGATGATGAGGGCAGCCCAGCCCGTGCTTGGTTTGCTTTTCCTCCTCTTTTCCAAAAGTTAGGAGAATACTTTTTCAGCTTCACTAACTAAGGAACAGGATGCTATGGCTGTGACCTAGGTCCATGCTATAGCTGTAAATGAAATTCAAATGCCTTCCTTTTCTTTCTTGAGGTGTATGTGAATTCCTTCTAACTGGAGACCTCAGAGGGGAAAAAAAAAATCTGTAACTGAGGACCTGGTGGTGTATTCCTACAAGACATATTTCAAGCAGGGCTGAAAGAGTGGAAAAAATGTATTTAAATGCTACTGTCTTTTAATATTTGTCTCTGAGCAAGGAGACCTTGTTCCTCTTAAGGGTCAAACTTCGAGGTTTCTTTTCATGGCCACATATGCTGTATATGTAGAATCAATAACCAATGCTCCTGCAATTGGCTAGAAATAATTGCATAATTTTGATAAATAAAACTTGTATGTTTCTTTGTATATGAACAGTTGAATATAATCTGTAACATATCTTTCAGATACTTATCAAACATACCTAGTTGAGATTTCTTAATTAAATCTGGGCTATTCAGAACAGTGGAACATAAGTTATGACTGATACTCGTGCCTTTGCATGAGGATGGTTTACTTCCAACTAAGCATTGATCGATAACTTGTTTCTGTTGATGTAAGAGTGAATGGGCAGGTGTACCTGGAGTTCTTTACAAACTACTACAAGCGTAGGAAAAGTTAGGGCCTGCTGAAGGCATGTGGGAACAGGAATGATTATCACAAGTATTTAGATTAATCAGGTAAGCCTTTAAAGTTTATCCAATAAAAATTGCTGCAGAGAAGACAGAAGTACCTTAAGAATATAGCATGAAAAAGCTAAGAATATTGTATCACTCGTTGTTCATTGTAAAACAAGCTTTTGCATTGACCTTAGGGATTGTTGAAGAATTGTTGGAAAACCTAGCATGTTAAACAAAGGTGGTTTGTTGGTTTTTCCCTTTGACAGAGCTGTTTCTTGTAAAGATGAATACAAATATCAGTTAAGCAGGATAGGGCTCTAAGTTTTCCATATGCAGTAGCAGGTTGGAAGGTACTGTGTTAGTATGGAATGGGTGACGGACAGCCTTCTCTTATTCACAGTTCTTTATTTCAGACCACCAGTTAGTAGGGCATTGCCACAGCCGGAGAAACTTCAGACAAATAATGTTGGGAAAAAAAAGAGACCTATAGAGGTAAGAAAAACATTGTTCTCCTCTTCCTTTCCTTTTAGGATTTTTTTTTCCAGAAATTGACAAATTTGTGAACACACTAAATGATTGCTTCATTTTAAATGTATCAAAGATGGAAATACTGAATACTGAGTAAATAGCAGAAAAAGTGGGAGAGAATTTATTTTGTAAATCCAAAAAAGCCTGATATCACTTTTTCTTGCAAATGAAATGGCACACAAGTTAATTCTTAGTAACAATAAAACCTTTTAAATGCACTGTGTAGAAAGCAGTATGTTCCATTTCAATAACTGGATTGTTAATGGGTGTATTATCACTAATAAAACTAAACTTCTCTTACTGCAAGATTTTTTTAAATTTATTTTAAAACTGTTCAAAATTCATCATTAACAATTTTAAAAATAAAGTATTTTTTAAAAATCTATTAATGATGCCTTTAGCTTGGGCACCTTTTTTTCTTTTTTTTTTTTTTTTCATTACATGGCCATGTAAATAAATATAGTCTTGATTAATCTGAAGTGGAAATTTCATCTAACCTTGCAAAATGTAGTTCTTCATATCAACTGAAATATTTTCTATGATGTGAAACACAGTCTTTGGTGTAGCATAATAAACAGCCCTTTGCCATCGGTGTTCTAGAAGTTTTAGGCTGTAATTCAACTTTCTTAATTGCCATCTGGAATTAAATTGTGGACCAATGTTTATCATTATTTGTTTCTTAGTATCTTCTGCATCAAAAGAGTTGTGTTCTTCTTGGCTAATTTATTTATATGTTTATCTCTTTCTGCGTGTCTGTGTATACACACACATAAATATTCTACAACATGCAGCAGAGATGATAGGATGACATGACTGTGTATGACAAGAATGAGCAGCAATGTAAGCTGACAGAGAAAACGGGATCTCAGTTTCTGTTGGTTTGAGACATTGTTCAACTTCATTTCCTTTACTGCATAAGGACATATTTGAAAAACCAAATCCTGGAAAACATTGTAAAGTTCATAATTCCTTTAAGGTTTTGAGTATCTAATACATGTAAATATCTTTTTTTTTTTTTTAGGACCTAATTTTGGAGCTAGTATTTGGGTATCGAGGCAAGGACTGCAGAAACAATGTGCACTATTTGAATGATGGTGCTGATGTAATATATCATACTGCATCTATTGGGATCTTGTATAACGTGGCAACAGGTAGGAGAAAATCCACTTGAGGAAAAAATGTTTCTTCACACACATGGAGTTACAGTTTATGAAATAACTGCCGTGCTTTACATCTTATAAAAATATGTGGGAAAACTATTATTTGTTGTTGAAAATTCAGTCTGTAGAGATGATTCATATTAGCTGCCTAAGCAAACTAAATATATTGAAATGTTTCTGGTGACTGAATTTCGAAGGACGTAAAGATTTTATTATTTTGGTATTAGCTTTCTGAAATTTGCTTGTTAAAATGATCACAGGAACTAAAACAGAAGAACAATGGGGTCATCATAGTTGTTTAATGTTTTTTCTAAGACTAAGTTAATAATTTTTTATTTGCTTTACTTTTCAGTCCTCCATATCACATGCGTTCATTCCCAATAACCAGTTTAGTTTAGATAACTTACACCTTTTAAAGAGTAACACAATGCCATTTGTTTCTGTGATATTTAAGCAACTTGATGTAGAAAACTTTAGGGAATAATTCATAGTTACTGAGTGCTATGTGTTAAAATTAAGATTAAAAAATTAGGAGTTTCTGTTTCCTGGTTTTAAGCACCAAAATGCAACATCCTCATAATGCTATTTTGTAACAAATAGTATAAAATTTTCAAACATTAACAATGTCTATGTGTGTATAAATGTTTTAATTAAAGTTAGGCTTTATTATTATTTTTTTTAGGCTCTCAGTCTTTTTACCAAGAACACAACGATGATATTTTGTGCCTCACTGTAAATCAGCACCCCAAGTTTACCAACATAGTGGCAACTGGCCAAGTAGGTATGTTTCTATTTTTGTAAAAAGAAATTAACATAAGAGCATGCAATTAGGGCCTTGTGAGTTCACAATAAATCACAAAAATACTTGATTATGCTATCTCCGTTTGTATGAGTGTTACTCAGTTACCTGTCCTCTTTATATGTTCCTTTGAGTGTAATTGAATAAAATTGAACAAAAAAACACTTGAGGCATGAAAGAAGATTAAGCTTATCTTATCTTTGGAGTGTTATCAAAAATATTTTTCCAGAAATCTTAAGCCCCATGAAATTAGTCTGGTTTTATTTAACTATCAGCTTCTGTTAGGCCTTCCAAAGAGTCATAGCCCTTCCAAAGAAGCTTAATTGAACTATCCTTCATTTCTATATGGACTAAACCCAGAATTCTTAAAATAGATGTCACTTTATGTAGGTTTTATCTCATCAGGCAGATTAATAATATCCACTTGGTGTTTTGATAATACATAGCTGTAATATTCTAGGCAGAACCAAAACCCTAGTGGTGTTTCCCT